CTTATGAGTTATGGGAATCATATTCAAGCAATATTAAACGAAGATGACAATCAACAGCGTATTTGTGATTTGTGTGCAAAAGAGGTAATTTATTTTCAAAATTAATTTTTACTATAATTATTATTATTTAAATTAATTTATGTTATACTCAAAAATTCCATACTCAAAAAACCATATTTCCTTAGGTTATTTATTTTATTATTATTATCAATTATAAAAATAAATTATTTGAAATTATAATGTCAACTTATTTTTCATGATGAAAATACTTTTATATTGAAGTATTTAAAGGAAACTTAAACTAAAGTATAAATTATTTTTTAAAGGTAGGTAGTGTAAAACTTAAATATATACGATTTAGTATATCTCAGTGTTGAGAAGGAACTCGTTCCAAAAGGAACGGATTCCTGGAACGAGTTATTTTTGTAGGAACGAAGCTTGGAACTGCTTCCTTTAAAAATAAAGGAAAAAGAAAATGAACAAATTCTTTATTTTGAGGAACGTGAACGAAAAACACAGTTCCTTGAAATTTTAAAACATATTTTAAATTTTAGTAAAGTACTATAGTAATTAGTATCTCATCAAAAACACTCCGTGTAAAAACATCGCTAAGTAAAAATAAGCACTTAAATTACAAAAGTTGTGATATCAAAAATTGGCTAAGTAATTTCATAAATTCATTAATATAAAAGTATAAGTATTTATAACTGTTTGTATTTATTGTACCTTGTGAATTTATTCAGTGCAAATAATTGCACTTAGCTTGGCGCAGTTACTATTATTTATGTCTCTATAACTAAGAACCCAACTGCATTAACTCTTACTCTCCCTAAAATGTTTGCATATGTTGGGTCATTTTTTTGCCTCATATTTTGAGTTAGTTCGTCATAAGTAAATAAAGTAGCCCATAAGTTAACTGTTCCTAGGGAATTCAAGTATTTTTTGCTCTGCGTAGAATTCAATGTTATAAACGGAGATGCTTCATTTACAGGTGGAAGTTGCAATAAATCACCTAGAACTAAGATATTTATACGTCCGAACCAACCGTTATCGCTATCACTTGTGTCAAATATCTCACATAATCGAAGATGTATATAGGAAAGCGTTATGTTTGAAACCATACTTATTTCGTCAATAATAAGCAACACAACGTTTTCCATGGTATGACGAATTATTTTTAAAACATTATTAGATAGTGGTCGATACGATGGAGTATTGCCATGTTCAACTGGTAATTGTAGCAGACGATGTATCGTCATTCCCTCAATATTATAAGCTGATATTCCAGTCGGGGCAGTAATTGCGACATTTTTTTTTACAACTGTATTAATATAAGTTTTAATCGTCTTTATTAAAAATGATTTACCAGTACCTCCAACACCTGAAACAAAATGTCTTATAGGTTGCTTATTTTCAGATGATAAACTTTCTTTAATAAAATTAAACACTCACACACAAAAGACGTAAACCCGTTGCATGGAGAGGGAAATTCAGACGGCCAGATAGTTCAACGCAGCGCCGTGACGACGGATTACGCAACGAGTGATTTCAACCGACGAGTGGAAGGGGAAAAATGGGCGGCCAGCACAAACATCCAACGCCGCGGAACATAATATACATTGTGGAATTGATGAAAAAAATAGCGTTTTGCTTAATTATTATGTTAATACTTTAGTATGTAACTAAGGCTGTAATACTCCGATAAACTTTAAATGTTCACAGAATCATCTACACACCAAACTGAGCTATTTGTGAACTTTTCAAGTCAATTGGTTCATTAGTTTAGGCTACAGGGTGGTCGACATGATTTTCGTAAAATAACATTGGTTAAATATAAGTTGGTTCTCTCGTGTAAAGCCGCGTCCAGACTAGACGACCAAGGCAACCGAACGCCAACGTCAACACATTTGGTGTGGGCTGTACTTAGATTTGAGAGCATTGGCATACTGTCCAAACTCATTCCGAATTCGTCGTTAGTCCGTGTTTGGAAGCCTTCGCTTGTTTATGCTGCGAACGCACATAACTATAAGTTTTATTTTATACTTTCCAAATTTTAAAATTTAATATTTAACTAAAAATATTACATTTTAAATAAAATGTCGTCAAGTGACGACGACTTATTAATGGCAAGTGCTGCTTTTGTGATAATGAACTCATTATTAAAAAAAGAAGAAAAAAAAAAAGAAGGCACAGGCGTTGGTGGATGACTTCGACATTTAAAAGTCGAATAACTTATAGGTAAGTAAACTAAATAGGTACCTAGTTGAAAATATTAATTATTAATATTTATAATTTTTATAGTGGTAGTAATTTACTAGAGGATTTGCGAAGAGAATATTCTGGTCATTTTAATAACTTCTGCAGAATGCCACCAGCTACATTTGACGTATTACTAGAAATGATCACGCCTATGATTAAAAAAGAAGACACGAATTTCAGAAAGGCTATACCACCTCAAGAGCGACTAGCCTTAACCTTACATTTTTTAGCAACTGGGAACTCTTTTTCCAGTTTAGCAATGACCTTTAAAATATCAAAACAAACAATTTCAACAGTAGTTCCTGAAGTTTGCGAAGCTATTATTCAAGTACTGCACGATCAAATCAAGGTAATTATAAAAATACAATACACCAAAACATATTGATATAAATACTAATATTATTTTCAATTTATTGAACAAAATTATTAAGAAAAAAAATAATCAAGTTAATTACAATTTTGGTACTCCCAAATAAAAAATAAAACTTATACAATTTTGGTACTCCCAAATAAAAAATAAAACTTATAAAATTTTGGTACTCCCAAATAAAAAATAAAACTTATAAAATTTTGGAACTCCCAAATAAAAAATAAAACTTATAATAAATTATAAAATAGTTTAACAGTTCAAATATTCATCATAACTAGTTATTATTTAAAACATCAGTATTTTGATCTGTAAAAGTTTGAAAATAGGAACTTGCCGAGGACTCCGAAGAATGCAAACTATTTTCTTGTGGAGTGATTGGATTATCAAAAATATTACGAATAGGCTCCTGTGATGTTGATGGATAATGTTGCGGAGTTGTTTGTTGATAAAATTGTTGATTACTAAATGCACGAAATGTTGCTGAAGGTGCTTTAGAATTAGTGTAATTCCAATGAAGAGCTGGCTGTTGTGGCATTTGTGTATGAAATTTACTCATGTGTGCTTCATATAGAAGTATAGAACATTATTAAATGTATGTTTAATTTGAGCTCGGGTATGTTCGTCAAATGTTTTAAGTTCACTCGCTATATACCTCCCATACGTATCACTGTCATCGTCTTTAATCGAACGTTCGTTTTTTTTTGCTTCGATAGTTTTTAATAAATTAAACGCTTCATTTATTCTTGGATCCTCTGGTCGTTGGATTTTTTTTGACACATTTTTTTCTAGTGATGAGACAAATAATTTTCGTTTGTTTGTAATTTGTGGTTTTGGTGTATGTAATCCCAAAGTAGGAGATATTTGTTCGTTATTGCTATTACTACTTTCTTCTGCAATATTCTCATCCGTACTTAAAAACTCTGATACACCATCATCGTCGATCAAATCACATTCAATCTGCATTAAATTATTAAAATTACTAAATATTATTTTCAGAGGGTTGGGGGGGGGTTGTAAAAAGTAAAATTTCCCAGTAGTTTAAAAAAGCGTCAGGAAAAAGTATAAACATTAAATTACGTATCGGAAAAACGGGAATGTTTACGAAAAATCAGTTTTCGACAAAATACACGGAAACATTTTCAAAATATTTTGAATTTTTTTTTGTTAATTTAAGACAATTTACAATACAAAGTTTCTTATAAGTTAACTTATCGCAACTAAAAAAAAATCAAAAATCGTAAAACAAATTTTTTTTTTATTAGCGTTTAACGTTCAAATATTAATTTAGATTTTTATTACCAGGGCTGTGAATTTATAGGAAAGTGCATTTTTTTTGGTGATTGAAAAACATAGCTTTGTTAGTACATAATTTGAATTATGTAACTACGAATCTATCTATAAAACATTTATTTTGCATATTTTTGCATTTTTGACGTTTTTAATTTTTTAGGTCATTTTTTTTGCATTTTAAGTCTATATTTTATTGCATTTTTTTGACATTTTAAATGCATTTTTTAAGGTTTTATAGTGCATTAAATTCACAGCTCTATTTATTACTAAGAAAGTACTAGTCGTAAAAACTTGAAATATTTAAAAATTCATAAATTAGTATTTTCTTTAAATATTTTAATTTTCAAAATATTTTGTTTATAGGTATTTGTAATATTTGATTATTTTTAGGTATTTTTTATAACTGTTGATAAAACATTTTTGCCGAGTCGAAATACTTGAAAATTTTATGAAAGGGTTCCAAAAAATTTTAAAAATATATAACCACAATTTTTTCAATTATTTAATTTAATTTTAGATGCCTGATACAGAAGAAAATTGGTTAAAAATTGCTGACGAATATGAAAAGCAATGGAACTTTCCACATTGCGTGGGTTCAATCGACGGAAAACACGTACAAATACAAGCACCGGCTACAAGTGGTAGTAACTTTTTTAACTACAAATCAACCTTTAGTATTGTTCTGATGGCACTTGTAGACGCTGATTACAATTTTTTGTACGCCGATGTTGGATGTGAAGGTCGAATTTCTGATGGAGGCATATTTAGAAATACGTCTCTGTTTCAAAAACTTGACAAACATGAACTAAATTTATATACAGAAAGCTTATTAGAGGGAAGACAAAAATTAGTGCCATACGTTTTTGTCGCAGATGATGCTTTCCCTTTAAAATATAATATTATGAAGCCATATTCAGGTCTTCAACAAAAAGGATCGAGGGAACGATCATATAATTATAGATTATCACGGGCAAGACGAGTCGTAGAAAACGTATTTGGAATTTTGTCAGCTATTTTTAGAGTTTTAAGAAGGCCACTATTATTAGAGCCCGATAAAGCAGAGCGTGTAGTAATGACATGCGTTTACTTGCATAATTTTTTGAGAAAAAATAAAATATCAAAAAATATATATACACCAAATGGAACTTTTGATTCGGAAATAAATGGCGAAATCAGAGAGGGTACTTGGAGAAACACGTGTCAAGGTGAAACTAGTAGTTTTGTCTCATTTCAAAGAGTTGGGAGGAGATCGGCTAAAAGCGTGGAAGAAATAAGAACGGAATTTGCGGAGTATTTCGTAACAAATGGAAAACTCCAGTGGCAAGATGAATATGAATAATTAATGTTAATCATTAATTTAATAAGTTATTTATATCTATACACAATATTATCTTATTTTTTAATAGGTTATTTATAACTATACACAATATTATCTTATTTTACTTGTACCTATTATTAACAAATAAATGATAAATGATAACTTATGATTAATATTTAAAAATGTGAAGTTATGGTTAAAAATTAAAATATATGAACAATAATAAATTAAACTATTGTAATACTTACATCTTTAGTTGAAGTAGTTTCTGTATTTTTTGTTTTTCTAGGCTTGAACTTATCGTTCAAAAATTGCATGGACTGAAACCCAAACCATTGTGAGTGATACACCTCGTCTTTGCCCATTCCAGATGTAGTTCCTTCTCTCTGCCGTTCTCGCCTGAATGAAGTTAATAAACTTTCCATTTTTTTGCGGATATCAACAACTTCGGCATTCATGTCTTTTGCAATGGCACACCATACATCAAATTTTTTTTTGTTTAATTTATACTCAAAATTTGTTGGATCCCATAGTATTGGGTGTTCTTGATATAAATGTATTAGTTGAATGCATCGTTTATCACTCCAATCCATTTTAAAATTTTAAATGAATAAGTACAATTATTTAAATATTTAATTCAAAAAGACACCAGTTCGGACCAAATGTCAACGAATACTAAAATATCGACAAATCGTGTCCGAACCGATAACGAATTCCTTTTGATGTACCGCTTGCCTAGCGAAGGCAACCGAAGGCAAATTCACCGTTGGCGTTCGTTCGGTAGCGCTGTCCACACCAATATCAATATCTCCGAATAAGGTCGTCACATGTGCCTTCGATACCCTTGGTCGTCTAGTCTGGACGCGGCTTAATATACACCGTCGTTGCGCGCTAGTTTCTTTCTTTTTTTCCTTAGCTCTGCGCCGCGACCGCGGCGTTGGATTTATAATCAATGATAATATTAATAATAATTAATATGTGTTGTATTAAATATTATTTAATTTATTATCGGCTTATTGATGCCGGTAGAATATTATCGTCATAATAATAATATTATGTGTTAAAGTTATAAATAGATTTTGGTATTTTCTGAATGATTATAACATATTTGTTATTTCTATAATCTATGTTGTATGTAGACATTATCACATATATCTGACCGATTACCCAAATAAATGTACTGATTTTTTACACTTTACACATCTATGTATTCCTGTCGGAAAATCTCCATTTTTACACGGTAAATAAAATGAAATATTATTTTCTTCATTTACTACTACTCTCGGTTCAGCATGCATATTATCTTCATTATCACCTATAACTGTTTCCTTTTGCATGTTTTCAATATTTCCATCTCTATCACCTCTTTCTGTATATAAGTCTTCGTTATCTTCAATATCTGTTTCAGTATGTATGCCTTCACAACCCTCCAAATCCGTTTCTGTGTGTATGTCTTCATTATCCTCTATATCTGTTTCTGTTTGTATGTCTTCGTTATCCTCTATATTTGCTTCTGTATGTATGCCTTCAAAACCCCCCCAAATCAGTTTCTATGTGTATGTCTTCACAACCATCTATAACCGTTTCTTTGTGTATGTCATATTCCTGTATATCTGTATTTACTTCATTAGTTTTGTTATTATTATTATTTAAAGATCCAGCATTTTGTTAGCAGCAAATTATCATATTTATAATAATATACTAATTTTTGTACAAAATCATCCACCCTAATGGGTAAATGTTCTGTTTTAAATAATCTCTTCTTAATCTGGTTAAAGTTACTTTCAACACGGCTACTTGAAACAGTAGCTTCTCCATATCCAAATATTGTTGTCATAATTCCGGACCAACAAGGATACAACTTCACTGCATTGATCACTAAGGTAACTAGTTCCGGTGTATATTGAGCATTGTCAAACTCGCCTTCGATTTTTTCAACTTTTGATAGACAATCATTTATAATAATAATAATAATAATAATACGTTTATTACCATCAAATAAGATTACAAATAGTATTAGCCTAAGCTAAAATTTAAAAATTGATGGATCTCCTCAAAAGCCAATGGCTGTGCTAGAGGAGAGAGTTCACAAACGTAATTAATGTTAGATATAGATTTTAACGTAAGAGCAAAAAAAAAAAAAAACAAAACAAAAAACAGATATTAGATAGACTAAATAAAACTAAAACAAGAAAAATTACAAAAACAGAGTATTAACATATTTTTTATAACTTAAGTAACTTTTAAAACTATTGACGTTTAAATTATGATCACAACAAAATTTTACAAACTTGAATTGAGGACATTGCTGTCCAAAAACAGTTCTAATTTTAGGTATAATGACATTTGATTTCAATTTTAGTCGGGTAGAATAATCATGGCTTGGAACAGCTATGTCCTCCTTAAA